TTCTTCTTTTTAATCACCAGTTTTCCTTGAATTCATGTAAAAGCAAAACTAGGCAAGTAGCTAAGTAGTGGCTTCCGTTTCACGTTTAATTTCTTTTTTTTAATCATCACTTTTCCTTACATTCATTTAAAAGCAAAACTAGGCAACTAGCTAATTAGTAGCTTCTATTTCACGTTTAATTTCTTCTTTTTAATCATCATTTTTCGTTAAATTCATTTAAAAACAAAACCAACTAAGTAGTAGCTTCTGGCACCTCTACAACACAAACAAAAGTCTAACAAGAACTGAAGCAAAGTACAAGAAGCCTTACTCGCAGGAAGCACGGCAATGGTGTGCTCAAGGGAGGAGCTATGGCAGGACCGCAGGAGTGGATTGGATCTCAGTCTGAGAGACGACATGAGGAACTTTATCGGTCTGCTCAGTTTGATTTGGCTCACTAGCAGGGACAACACCTCTTTGAGGGACTGCCAAGCAACAGATTGAGTTGCCTTTTTCGGTTTGCCTGATCCCTTTTACTTACTGGCCTTGTCTGCGCATGTAAAATCACAATCAAATACAAATATGACTCTCACAAGCATTTCATCAAACATGTTTCAAACAAATCCATCAATCCACCAGCCCCTCCTATTGCTACTACTCACATACCAACACAAACACAAGCAATCAACCAACATACGAAATTCAAAGAGAAGAGAAGAAATGTGTACCTTGAAGTCCCGAACTTGAAGCTTGGAAAAGGGAGTTAAAAAGAGAAGAGATCAAGACTCAAGAGATGAAGAAAACTAGAAAACAACTTTAAACTTTAAAGAGAGCAATCCATTGAACTGTTGAAGATTTGATTCTGATTCATTTGAATAAAAGTTAACGATGTCAAAGAGAGTTATAGAACTGAGGAAAATGAGAAAAGAGATTTTGTTTTAATTCGATTTTGAGTCAAACCCCACTAAAACGAGGTTGTTTTGGGGTGATCAATCAGTTTTTTTTTTTTTTTTTTTTTTTTGGGCAAAAATTCGCAAATTATACAGATATTTATATTATATGTGTATAATTTGGTAGCCTTTATAAAATACGGGAATACGCATATAAAACGTGAATTTACTAACCAGGGTTTGAATACACACCTAGTCTCAGACTTTCTTCCATAGGAGTGCTAACCGGTCTGCAAGTTGGCATACCAATTTCATTCAACAAATCTAAGGTATATTTCCTTTGAGACAAGAAAATACCTTTCTTGGATCTTAGCACTTCTATTCCTAGGAAATCCTCAACAAACCAAGATCTTTCATTTCAAACTTACGGGCAAGATGATCTTGCAATGACTTTTTTTTTCTTCCGGATCATTTCCAATCACCATCATATCATCAACATACACAATAAGAGTAGTGATATTTTCTTTATTATTCTTCAAGAAGAGAGTACGATTCGAGTTACTTTGTTTGTATCCAGAAGCTTTCATAGAACTCGTGAATCTTCCAAACCAAACTCTAGGAGATTGTTTCAAATCATACAAGGACTTCCTCAATTTGCAAACTTGTTTGCTTCCCTCAATCTGCATGGTACATCTAGGAGGCAATTCCATATATACTTCCTCTTCGAGATCTCCATGCAAAAAAGCATTCTCACATCGAATTGTTATAACGACCAGTCAAGGTTGACAACCAAAGATAGCAAGATACGAACAATATTAATTTTGGCCACTGATGCGAACGTCTTCATATAATCAATTCCATAAGTTTGAGTATAACCTTTGGCAACAAGTTCTTCACTATCTTTTCTATCGTTTTCCAATTCAATTATGAATTTTTTTTTTATTTTTTATTTTTAAAGTGGAATAACTTCTTGAAATTTGCTTTTGGAATAGGATCTTGGATATGCACCACTCAATGAGTAAAGATACGAGCACATGGTAGATGGTTGGACCAAACCTATGAAAAGTAAATTTTGATAATAAAATTTTGAGATTCTCAATTGGGTTTAGGCATGGAATTTAATCACTTTATTTTGCTAGAGTCCATAGCAAAGGCATGCCCACCTTCATTCCTTTCTTTTTTTAATAAAGTTATGTTTGTTTTTATCATATCTCACATGGGATGAGAGTAGTTAAAGAAACAATACCCATTTCTTTCATTTGTTTGAGCTGTTAATATTAATTAATCTTTAAATTTGTATTTGATCAAAAAATGAAATGTCACATTTACAAAGAAAAAAAAGGGTTGTTTTAGAGATCTTATAGTTTAAGGTTTATGTTTACACAAATATTAGTGTTTTAATAAAAAAATTAAAAAAATAGTTATTTTAATATGAGAAGTAAAGGGATGATAAGATTGATTTGGGTTTTCCGTATATGCGTATTTGTTTCGTGACACAATGGTTGACACGTGTGGATGCACTGAGTGCTGGATTTTTAGGAGCATGATGACGAGGCCAAACTCCACTTAATTTCTTGACTAATAATTTTTAGATAAAAAATTTTAAAAGTAGAATCCCAATCAACTTAAATTAGCGATAATTTTGTCAAATTAATGTTTTTAACTTGACATTGAAAGGAGCCCCAAAAGGCCAATGCAAAAGTAGTGGAAAGGGGGGCATTCCGAGAATTGAACTCGGGACCTCTCGCACCCTAAGCGAGAATCATACCACTAGACCAAATGCCCAATTGCTTAACGGTCTTCACAAAATAATATAAAATATATTTCTAATTTCAGAATTTAAGTTTTTTCCACCCCTTGAGAGATGAGCTAATCCGGTCCATCCACAACTTTTGAAAAGTATTATATATCCCCTGATAAGAGGGTTTCTTGATATTCTTTTAGGGGTCAAATGATAATATCAGGATATATAATTATAGTTTAAAGGGGTAAATTATAATTTAGAGAGGTATATAAAAATAATACTACACATATATAATTCTCATACAATATTATGTGACAAGATATGATTGGATGAAAGTTTAATTTTAACTTTAAATTAGCCAATCATATCTTGCCAGTATGAGAAATGTTATATAAAAATGACGTATGTATAATATTACTCGGTATATAATTCTTTTTAAAAATCACATCCTTTTAATTATCTCTCTCTCTCATTTCCCAAGGATGAGGATGGCAACCCCATGTAAGTTTACTGCGTAATCTAAAGACCGACCGTGCACAACCGTATAATTAACTGATTTTGCCTAGTATCCTGAGCGTAGCCAAAGTAAACTAAGTGGGATCATTTCACCCTACTGAAATTATTAAAAATAGGTATATATTTTATAGTAATTAATAATTTTGACCCAACTAAAATTTATATTGACTCCACTAAAATTACCCATATTTTATTAATTTTCATATTTTGTTGATCCTATAATTCAAAAATACCCATATTTTTTCATGTTTTCTCTCTTCCTCTGTTCCTCTCCTCTTCTCTTGTATTTTCTTCTTTTTTTGGTTGGATTAATTAAGAAAAACTACTCATTTAGAGGTCACAAAGTAAGATGATGTTCATTTTTTTGTTATTTTGCTTAAAAATGTTTTTTTTCTATCTTTATTAATTGATGAAAGATCATGAGCTATGTTGCCCTAAGTTGTTTTTACCATTTTATGTATGTAATTGACATAATTGTATGTTGAATGAATTGGGTTTAGTTAAATAATTGTCTTATTTCATATATTGAGAGAAAGATGTTTGATGACATTGTTAATGAGACAATTATACAAAGTTTTTAAAATATGAAAAATTATCGAGAACAATTATAAAATTGATAATTTAGTATATATAACTTTTAAAATTAAATTTTTAGATTAAATTTTGTTATACTTATTACTTTAACATATATTTTATTATAATTTCATCAATTTAGATCTTTTCACCCACTAGAAAATTTTGGCTATGACGCTGCTTGTACCAATGATACTTTTGAATTTCAAAGCCATTGGAGACAACATAATCAATAAAATATCCAGGAAAGATTGATTAGGATTCTGTAATTCTAATAATTGTATGCATGATAGGGGCTTTTCAACAACAAACTACTAGTTGTGTTAATGAATTAACAAAACAAGATGCTCAAGCACAAGCATAACAGGGATAATCCAAAAGCAGACAACAAACTTTTAATCCCAGAACCCAAAACGAGAACAAAATCAATAATAACATAACATAACAAACAAACAAAAACAAAAATTTGCAGACAATTTCTAGTGACAGTGGCTTCATTTTATGATTATAAGTTGTCTCATTTGGGAGTCAATGAAGGATACAAAATCATTACCACATGGTAAAGAGACTTCTCCTTTTTTAAGTGGTGTCCCATACACTCTTATTTTACTCTCATTGATAAATGGATTCATGTCACATTCAATCTTCTTGAAAGAGCTGCTGCACGGCTTTGGCAGCTAATAATGAGAAGCTGATTGTTACTTTAAGCTAATTAAAATTTGATCGAGCCTCAACAGAAGATCAAAATTGCTCTCTACTACGCAAAGCCTCATGATCAAATACATTACAAGATTTGAATTTAAGCCTGAAAAATTTCAAGATTTTGCGGTGGCCAACGCTACAAGGAAAATGTGATTTTTTGACTAGCTCTCTACTACGCAACCATTTCCGACGTAATACAACGTAAGTTCAGCGACGTAGTTTGTATTGAGAAAACAGTTTAATGATGAGCCTTAAGCGACAGATTGGCAATGTCAGTCTTGACATCGTAATAATTTACTACGATACATTCTCTGCATTGGAATAAGCCGTTTTATATATATATATATATAGTGCAAGATATAACAATGGTGATGAACCGTGCAGAATCTGGTTAGCAATGTGATATGATAGCCCAAAAAGAAGTCAACATATTAAGACAAGAAATCAAAGTTCGTACCCATAGGATTCCCACTTTCCAGACACCTTTAGTATATACTTTTCATTTTTCAAAGTAAGCTATCATTAACTCGATAAATCTATCAGTTATAAATGTTTTAAGTCTTCCTGCTTGTATAACTAAGGCCTCAAATATTTAAATTCTATATTTGCTGTCAAAATTCCCAAGTTGAAGTGAAAGATGAAGAATGAAGCATATATTCTATTTATAGTACTCTCCCTTATAGCTTCTCATTGTAGTTCCTCTACTGATATCGGAATTCAAGCTGCAAAATCAGGCCAGCAGTTTATAAGTTAATAATGTGTTATTGTATATGAAGTGATGATGAATTATTACTTATACTTTTTTTGTAATGCTTCATGCAGTTGATCTCATGGTTGAACCGGCAAAACCAAGAATGAGCACAGCCAGCCGGGATTTATTAGGTACTTGGGTGAGTAAGGTAATTCTCTTTTTAGTGTTCTGATCAGTTAATGAAAGTTGGTGATCAGTTTTTTTATTTTATCCAAATGTTGTTGTTGCTTCTGTGAACAGATAAAATTAAGAAAACAGGTGACAGATAGTATTCATAAAGTACCTTCTGGACCAAACCCTATTGGAAATGTGCATCCACCATCAAAGCCATGAAAGCAGCTGTTGAACTTGAATGAGAGGAAATCTGGTCATATTTCATTGTTTCATGAATGATACATATGATGATGACGCTCCTTCTGCCCATTGATTGCGTTATTTTGTCAAGAATTAATTTGTTTTCAGAGTAGTATTCTATATGAAGGCACTTAGTATATTTGTGTTGGTGACATTGAAAGTTGAAACTCCTCTCATGCTTCTTCTAAGAGCAGAATTAATTCATTGCTCTGTGATATTGCGTTGATTTCCTTTTCACTTTATATTATTACTTTTGGAGCTCCATCACTATTCTTGAGATAATTTCATGATTTTCATTTGTAAAAATATTATATAATTTATTTCAATAAATAATAATTAAAGTAGTAGACCAAGTCTACGAAATTCACTTTAAATGAAAGACACGGGATGCTTTCCCATCCAATTAAATAAATAAAAGTCAAAAATATCAACAGCCAAACAAAACCGGGAAAATAGGTTTCTTCGTTGACCGTTTAAAAAATCCAAACCGACGGCCTAGATTCAATGAATGGAACATTCTAGAACTGGAAACGAAACCATAAAATAAACCTCCTCTTCCTAGCTCTCTTCACTATCTACACACAAAATCTCATAAATCGAAGTAAATCTCTTGGATCGAATCTCAGCCGTTGGTTTCAGAAGTAAGATCCATATCAGATGGCCGGAAAAGGAGAAGGACCAGCGATCGGGATCGATCTGGGGACTACGTACTCCTGCGTCGGCGTGTGGCAGCACGACCGCGTGGAGATCATAGCCAATGACCAAGGCAACAGAACGACGCCTTCTTACGTGGGTTTCACTGATACGGAGCGTTTGATTGGTGACGCTGCCAAGAACCAGGTTGCTATGAACCCTATCAACACTGTTTTTGGTATGATCTTGTCTCTCTGTTTAGTTAATTAATCAATTAATTATTATTTTCTTTATTCTTTTGTGTATACCAAGATTTGTGTGGCTAGATTTGCTTAATGTTTGTTTTGATTATTCTTCAGAGAAATTTTGTTTTATATTTTTAGTTTTTCTAGAATGTTTAATACTTTGATTAATTAGTGAATGTTTCAATGATTTTTATTTTCAGTTTTATAGGTTAGGGAGTTTTAATGATTATAACTGTTGATGTTGTTATTATAATATTTTATTTTATTTTTTTATAATAATTTATTTATTACTATTGTAGATGCGAAGAGGTTGATTGGTAGGAGATTCAGTGACTCGTCAGTCCAGAGTGACATGAAGCTTTGGCCATTTAAGGTCATTCCTGGACCGGCTGATAAGCCCATGATTATTGTGAATTACAAGGGCGAAGAGAAACAATTTGCAGCTGAGGAAATCTCTTCTATGGTGCTTATGAAGATGCGTGAGGTTGCTGAGGCTTTCCTTGGCTTATCTATTAAGAATGCAGTGGTTACTGTCCCTGCTTATTTCAATGACTCTCAGCGTCAGGCTACAAAGGATGCTGGTGTTATTGCTGGACTCAATGTTTTGCGTATTATAAATGAGCCCACGGCTGCTGCCATTGCTTATGGTCTTGATAAGAAGGCTACCAGTGTTGGTGAAAAGAACGTGTTGATTTTTGATCTTGGTGGTGGTACTTTTGATGTGTCTTTGCTTACTATTGAAGAGGGTATTTTTGAAGTGAAGGCCACTGCTGGAGACACTCATCTAGGTGGTGAAGATTTTGATAATAGAATGGTCAATCATTTTGTGCAAGAGTTCAAGAGAAAGAACAAGAAGGATATTACCGGAAACCCCAGAGCTCTTAGGAGATTGAGGACAGCTTGTGAGAGAGCAAAGAGGACTCTTTCATCTACTGCTCAGACTACAATTGAAATTGATTCTTTGTATGAGGGTATCGATTTCTATTCAACCATTACTCGTGCCAGATTTGAGGAGCTTAACATGGATCTCTTTAGAAAGTGTATGGAGCCTGTTGAGAAGTGTTTGAGAGACGCTAAGATGGACAAGAGCACTGTCCATGATGTCGTCCTTGTTGGTGGTTCCACTAGGATTCCCAAGGTGCAGCAACTTTTGCAAGATTTTTTCAATGGAAAGGAGCTGTGCAAGAGCATTAACCCGGATGAAGCTGTTGCTTACGGTGCTGCTGTTCAGGCAGCTATCCTGAGCGGTGAGGGTAATGAAAAAGTGCAGGATCTATTGCTCTTGGATGTCACCCCTCTGTCTCAAGGTTTGGAGACTGCTGGAGGTGTCATGACTGTGTTGATTCCAAGGAATACCACAATTCCAACCAAGAAAGAGCAGGTGTTTTCAACTTACTCTGACAACCAACCTGGTGTGCTGATCCAGGTTTACGAGGGTGAGAGAGCAAGAACTAGGGACAACAATTTGCTGGGCAAATTTGAACTTTCCGGCATTCCTCCAGCTCCAAGGGGTGTTCCTCAGATTACTGTCTGTTTCGATATCGATGCTAACGGTATTTTGAATGTCTCTGCTGAAGACAAGACCACTGGCCAAAAGAATAAGATTACAATTACAAACGACAAGGGAAGATTGTCCAAGGAAGAAATTGAGAATATGGTTCAGGAGGCTGAGAAGTACAAGTCCGAAGACGAGGAGCACAAAAAGAAGGTTGAGGCAAAGAATGCCTTGGAGAACTATGCTTACAACATGAGGAACACGGTGAAGGATGACCAGATCGGTTCCAAACTCGCTGCAGAAGACAAGAAGAAGATTGAGGACGCAATTGAACAGGCTATTCAATGGTTGGATGCCAATCAGCTTGCAGAAGCAGATGAATTCGAGGACAAGATGAAAGAGTTGGAGAGCCTTTGCAATCCCATCATAGCCAAGATGTACCAGGGTGGTGCTGGTGCTCCTCCGGGTGGTATGGATGAAGACGTTCCTCCTACTGGTGGCAGTGGTGCTGGCCCCAAGATTGAAGAAGTCGATTAAGTTGGTAGTTTTAGATTTACATAGTCTACTAGGACTTTTAATTTTTAAATATAAAGTCGTCATTTATGTTTTTGTTTGGTGGTAATAGTAGTAGGGGTTCATATAAGAAACCATAAGTTAGTATTTTCTTATTGATCGATACTGCTTCAATTTTTTATCCATCTTTAGAGAAGATGGACCGATTTCAAAATATATTTCAAGTCATTATTGCTAAACATTTATAATATTTTGTCGTTTACTTGCATCAAAGTTCTGGATGGATGTTCAAGGGCAGTTTGATTGTTTACTCATATCTTGAAATTCTAGTTCGTATAAGCGTATCTTACTGAATCATCATTGAGATTTTCACATGCATTTTCTCCTTATCGGTTGTAGGTTATGAACTCCAGTCAGAAGTACTGAAAGGAAATGGAGGTTATGAGGAACAAGCTAAATTAATATCTTTCGGCATATTCAAGATGGCGGTTTGAAACATAAGTAATCTAACTTATATTTAGAAAATTGCAAAGAATTATGTACTTCATTGGATAATAACAGCCAAGTCTGACATAAGAGATTAGTCGGTTCATTCTAATCTTCAAACCTCTGTTGGAACTTTGTCGCTCACTTGCCGACACAAGAAGTGAAAAACACCCACAATGAGTTATTATATTCTGCATCAACAATAAAGAAATATAAAATTGGTTTAAATTGCCAATGGTAAAGATAAAAGTTTGTAGAATTGTATATCAAATTGGTTTTAACTGCAAATGGTAAAGGTTAAGTTTGTAGAATACCCTTTGTACAAGGTTTTTCATCACTCTCTTATAATAGAACGAATGCACCGTTATCAGATACATGCTGATTCACTTAACATCAAGGAGATTGCAGGACTGATGCGAGATATATATTAACAGTAACAGATTCAAAGCAAACTATAGAACAAATGATAATATATATCCACCATTTCGCTTCTTTTAATCCGATGAACAATTAATGCAAGCTTAAGTCAACAACAAAAATAAACTTACTAAAACCTATTATAACCAATTGCATACCCTACTTGTAAAGAAAGAAAAAGAAAATTTAATGGACCGACAAGACAATCTGAAAAAAATGCAGATTTCAATTCACAAATTTCCTTAATGGAATGAGGTTAGTAAACAATGAAGCACCAACCATCCTTACATATCAGACAAATGCTTCTTTAAGGTCAACAAATGGTCGCTCACTCCAAGGAGAGGGGCGAAGGCATACGTGGACCTCATGTTCTTCTGGTCCTTCACGACTTTTGGGCACAATAATTTCAAGCATTGTTCCCGTCTCATCTCGATATGCTTCTAATTTAGCATCTTCTGGGATGCGTTTTGGAAGGGGAATTTCCCTAATAAATTCCCCTGGAGGGCAGTGCTCTGGTGTTGGATCAGTTAGCTTAAATGTTCTATCATGCCTTTTAATGAATGGCATGCAGGCTGTACTAACACAAGATATCTTCACGATCCCATGGGAGGGAGTATTCCTCCAAGTTACTTTCACCCTTTCAAGATCAGCAAAAGGCAAACTGACAATGATCAAGAACCCTTCATCGTCTTCATAAATTGTTTTTGCAGCTGTCACAGGCCCAAAAACTTTCTTCATTACTCCACTAAATTCGTTGATCCATGGAGATTCAACCAGCTGGATTTTTGTATCGAGTACCCTTTCAGAATGTGAACCATTAGTTAAGCAAGAATCATCATCACTCCCACGCTGGAAATAATCCTTCTTCCGCTTGTGACAAGTGGATGAAACATCCATTCTGTCACCATTGCTGTGATCTGATGGCTGTGTTGATAAATTCAAGCCAGTCCCATTGAGCAATTTTCTTGGGTGGGGATTTATGCTGGTCTTCAATGAAGGAGGAGGGCGTTCAAGCTCAAATTCTGAGTGATTCCTCCATGAACCAAATTCACTTGCTTCAAGAGGGATAGAGAAGTTTATATCACGGCCTGTGAGCTCCTTCCACCTCTTCTTCTCTTCCTCATCAAGATTCAAGAAGTTAGGAGTCCGAACAACTTCAATCCCATGAACACATTGAGGGTTAGACAGACCCCTGTAATGCTTTCTCTGCATTCTGTGAGATCGGACAAAACCCTTATCCACACTGAAAGGAAAAGGTCGCTCCCCTTGTCGAGAGTGCCCATTCATATAACTCCTGAGCTGCATCTTGCCCAGAGCATTTTCAGGCCTTTCCTTGAAAACCCACATATACATGTTCTCCATATCATGCTGAACCAAAAAAGCATCTAGCTGCAAATCTGATTTCTCATACCCAGAAACTCCTTTAGCATCCCAAACAATCTTACTCTTTGATTTCTCATTTAAAACAGGCTTGAAGTAGAAACTGAAGAAGAACCAAGCACCCCATACACTATCAAGCCGCTTAGTGAACTTTTTTGTAGCTTTTGGGACATGAACAACTGTTTCAGCCTCATAAATTTGAGGCCCAAGACCAACATCTAAGATATCACACGGATCATTCCAAGCTAGGAGAGGCGGGCCAGGCTCAGATGACAATGGAAGATTGATATCTGGTGGCCGAGGAAGTACTGCAGATCGATTCATCTCCCTCTCCAATTCATCATGTGACAAAAAACCTGAATCCATTGACAAAAGTGTGGATGGATGGTAATTCTCAATTGACAAGGTTGTAAGTAAAGCTTCCCCCATATTTGTTTCTTCTTCACTGGCTTCTGGGGTGTAGTTTTGATCAAACTAAAGTAAAAAAAATCACCTCACAAACATCTTATTATGTCAAAGGAAACCCATAAATTATGCAGATTTATCAATCAATCCACAAAACCACAAAGAGAGCTCATATAAATCTTCATGATCCACTTACACATAGATCCCCACAAAAAGAACTCAGAAAGATTCATCAAGCAATCCAGAGAACACCAAACAAGAATAATTTAACATTGTAAGGTCAACCCCAACCTGCAAACAATCAAAAAAAATTGTCTCATCACAATCAAACGTTTAATTTCTATTTAACAAAATATCTCTATAAATATATTGAATTACCAAGGAACCTTATCTTTCAGTTTGGTTGCTGAGAGAGAAAAGAAAAAAAGGAAGTTAATTGAATCTGCTGCTTCTTGTTTTCTTTATTTTTTAGAATCACATAAAAAAAAATAAAAAGCAATCAGCTTTATAATTCCGAATTAATTGGGATTCATCTCAGATAATTAAAAGCTTCTATTTATTTTCTATTTTAGGGTTTCCATATTAAACTTTAAGATTAAGAACTTCAAATTTCCTTTCTTTTCCTCCACTTTCTCAGCAACCAAACAGCCTATAAACAGAACAGAAAAAAAAAAAATACACAAAATATTCCACAACCTACAGAATCTCATAAAACCATTGGACTGTAACGAATAAAGTACAGATTCAAAGCAACCAAAAATTAAAACCCACAAAATATAAATACAAAATCAAAAGAAATATTCAAAAATTACCTAAAAAGAGAGGCTTCTGAATCAAGAGATACAGAGAGAGTTGACAGCCGATCCCCAATTAGAGAGATAGAGAGAGAAGGAGAGGGAGAGAGAAGGCAGATAGGTAACGGAGTCTGTTTAAAGAGACGGTGTTGTGTAGAAAACACCTACACCAGTAAACGACGACGTTGATGATGGATTGGATGGATGTCGATGTCGTTAATTAACGGTGAAAGTGAGAAGACAATAGTCAAAAGTGGCGTCTCATATTTATTTACAATGTTGTTAAAAAAGAAACATGTCACATTCAACCTTGTAACTAAATTAACCATAAACATTACTAACCTTTACTTTTACCTCAAACTCTACAAACAACCAAACAATACTAAAATAGAGAGTAAAACAAAAAAAATGGGTTCTTTTTGTAGTGTTAGGTGAGTCAAAAAAAAGGGTGCAATTAACATTAATTTCAATGCATTTGTTTGTTTGTTAGATAATTAAGAAGGAAATAACATAAGATGGGTTGTTAACTACCTCAATAGGGATTATTAGATGTATTATTTAAAGAGGTGTTAAATTCGAGTCTTTCTTCAATTGCTAATAGAAGTATCTATTAGAGTTTTTATTCGATCGATAGTTTCAGGATTTTGAGAAATTAGTTGAAATATGTGTAAACTGGTTCAGACACTCTCGATCAATTAAAAAAAAAAAAAAAGGTTGTTAACCTTGAGTCGATGGAAATTTAATTAGAGAAAATTTTGTTAATTCGGGTTTGGATTGGATTAATTTATTTATGAGAATTGTTTAGATTTTAACAATAATAAAAAGGGCTTTTTTTTTTTCTTTCATTTGGGTATTATTATACAATATAAAAGATGGTCAAAATTTGTGATGTACCATTGTATTTTACAATCTAATGTGAAGATGAGATCATGGCCATTAGAATCAACAAGGACATTTGATGATATAATTATCATTGTTTTGGGATTACATCACGCCTTCAATTAGAAATTGTTATCCAATTAGTGCCAAGAAGAGACAAAAGATGTTGAAAATTATGCAGTCTTATTAGGAATCCAAAGGCCATTATTTAAAAGAAGAAAAGCTCTTGAAACTGCTTAAACGACAAATATTTTGGCAATTGTGAAGAACTTGAAGCTTTTTCTTCAGAAAAAGTAGAATTGATTTCATTAGTTTATTTAGGCTTATTAATCCACTTATCGATAATACATAGCAACTATTGATTGCTTGGATTCATGTCTTTTTCTGTTTGGTGTGTTGCTTTTTTTCTAGTCCATATAAGTGATAAGTGATTGGTTATTTGTGAGTAAACTATTCAACAATAATGGAAGCAGAACCCAATAATTTGTATTTCAAGATTCCTTCTTTTTCATTTTTTTTTTTTTATTTTTTTAATTGAAAAAGAAGAAGAATACTATGCGGAAGCCTGACTGTGTTCAGTGGATGATTTGATAGCTTGTTTTCCTGTAGAGAAACCCTTTTCTCCTTCTGACTTTTAACTGGGTATTTCTGTTGTTGATGGCTGTAATTAGTAATTACTTGAACTTTCATAAGCGGTTCTACCTATACAATTCTAACCACCAATCATCATCAAAAGTGGCATTTTGTGGAGGCGAAGTAGCGGTCGCTTTGTTGAAATCGTTATCTTGTTTCGTTCATTGTTTGTTTGCCAAATGTCAGCCATTGATTACAGAAGATCATGTCATGCTTCTTTAAGCTATCGGTTATCACTGTTCTGGGTGACACCACAGCTGTATTCAGTCCCTTTTCTAGGAAAGAACTCGATTCACCGTTTTTAGAATAAATTAATGTACAAAAATAGGCTATTATCTATGCAATTAAAACACGAGCCTTCAACTTAAAATGAGAGCACTGACATCACAAGCTTAGTGGGAGACTTTATACATTTTTTTTTTAAAGGATTTTGAGGATGATATTGGCCTTATACGGTTCAAATCTGTCCACCTTAGCAACAATCTCTTGTCTTTTTCTTCACAAAAAAAAAATAATAATAATAGCAGAAGAAGCACTCGTCCCAGATATCACCTGCATTACTGCAGATTTTTATAATAAATATGATGCTTATTATTTATTAATGAATCAAAACGAAACATGCCCAAATCCAATGTACATGAATGTTCTTTGAAAATAAATCTATTCCATATTGCAGTTAAGATGTGTTTTTATAGATCATTATAAATTATATAATGCATACTTTTTACTATGTAACTTTCTCTAGCAATATAATAAACTTCCATTAGACAAAGCTCTTCTTGTAATTACCGTCGCTGCCATATAATTTGTTTTAACTTCTTCATTAAGGACTTAATTAACCAATATTGCTAATCACTTTTAACAATGGAACATGACGGTGGTGGCGACCTTTTCGGTGACACCAGAGTATCAATGATTCTTTTAGGCGTTGGATCAGCTGCATTTGTGACTGCAATCTACCATTGCGTCTCCGTGGGTTGGTGCAGCCGCCACGTCCCCAGGCCGAGCCCATCAGAACCCAGAACTTTAACGCCCCAAAACGTCGAGATGGCTAACATCACTGAGAACCTAACGGGCCAGCTCATCCCAGCCCACAAATACCAAAAGGGTATGGGCTTGGTGGGCGACGACGGCCTTTGTTCAGTGTGCTTGTGTGAATTTGAAGAGGGTGAGGAGCTGCGTACTTTGCCAGAATGTTTGCATTCATTTCATGCACCATGTATTGATATGTGGCTTTATTCTCATCCCAATTGCCCTATGTGTCGCGCGGATGCGGTGCCTTCGCCGCAAATTTTTCCGCCGTCGGAACTCAGTCCGGTCGGGTTGGAGCCCGATATGTTACAGATCGTCGTACAATCTAGAACCCGAGTGTTGGTTTGATGGCGAAAATGTTTGTCTTGTAAAGTTAATTTGATAGTTATTCAAATATTGTGTAACGCAACAAAAAAATCATTTTGAAGGCGTTTTAATTCTATGTATAAAATTTAAATATTGGGAGATGCCAAAATTTAACTTAATAGTTAGTCCTCATCTTTTGTAAAACCGAATCTACACAATAAACAATCAAATAAGTTTAAAACTTTAGCCAATTTTTAATCATCCACAGCTTATTATATAATTCTGGCCGGTCCTATAAGTTCAAATGCCTCGACTTCTGATCATTCTCCTTCTCAAAAATGGCCAACAATTCCTCAAGAGTTCCTGGTTTCAATGCACTCTCTGTGGCCATTATCGTCATTGCCTCAGCCGGTGCACTGCTAATAATCTACCATTTCATCATCATCCGTTGCTGCACGAGAAGGCAAACCATCGTTACCCATCAACAAATGCCGCAAAACTCACTGTCTCTTGCTGACCATTTCGGTCAAGACTTACCGCCAAACAGCTTGGTAGATTCAATAACCGAGCTCATCCCCCATTACAAGTTCACCAAAGACATTGGGTTGTTGTCAAAATCTGAAGACGTTACTTGTGCAATATGCTTATGCGAGTTCAACGATGGCGATGCCATTAGGATTTTGCCTGAATGTTTGCACTCGTTTCACGTTCATTGTATTGATATGTGGCTTTACTCTCACTCAAATTGCCCGCTTTGCCGAGCTGATACGCCGGTTCATCACATTGTTGCCGGGTCGCCGGCAAATAGTAGCGTGGGAAACATCATAAGCCGGTGAGAAATCATATGTTTATTTTTTTAATTAATTTTTGTCCCATCAATGCCGTCGCAATCAAAATTTGATATTTTAAAAGAAGATAAATTTTTTCTTTGGACGTCTGTTCTTTGATCTTAGTGTTATTTTTTCCTTTTGTTTTTTAATAATATATCCTAAGTGTAAGTGGGCATGGGCATGATCCCAACCCATGAAGCGTACATGAATGGGTTAAACACATAACAGAGTAATAAAAGGGCATTAAAATTCATGCTCTAGAAATGCATAAATTTTCACGATCCACAAAACAGTGCATTTATACTATAAAACTGTTCGGCCCAGAGTTGTCAGTTCCATTCCATCACAGTCGGTAAATGTAACGCTCAACCCATGCTCTTATAAGCTGGCCCACGGGCCCAACATTTATTTCTAATGCACTTGTCAANTTAATTAATTGTTGTCCCATCAAGGCCGTCGAAATCAAAATTTGATATTTTAAAAGAAGCAAGAAATAAATTTTTTCTTTGGACGTCTGTTATTTGATCTTAGTGTTATGTTTTTCCATTTGTTTTTTAATAATATATCCTAAGTGTAAGTGGACATGGGCATGATCCCAACCCATGAAGCGTACATGAATGGGTTAACCACATAACAGAGTAATAAAAGGGCATTAAAATTCATGCTCTAGAAATGCACCACAAAACAGTGCATTTATACTATAAAACTGTTAGGCCCAGAGTTGTCAGTTCCATCACAGTCGGTAAATGTAACGCTCAACCCATGCTCTTATAAGCTGGCCCACGGGCCCAACATTTATTTCTAATGCACTTGTCAATTTTTTTTTTGCCATTTAACGAATTAAGAGTCTTCTTCTCTTCATTATTATTTTTTTTGAGTAAACGACATGTTCCCACCCAAGGTTTGACGAAATCCTAAGTTGGTACCACAGGTTCTATTTATTCTAGATTTCCACCCTTAAAGTAATGAGAAATGGTTAGATATAACGACTCAGGGGTAAATTGGTCATTTCACAAAGGAGGCGCACATTAGCAGATCGCCGCCTTAACAAAAATCCGGCGCACGTTAGCAACATTGCCGCCATCGTTTTTCGCTCTTTTCCAGCGATTCTTCCACCAAAATCACCCTTGTCACCACCATTCGAACCCTCATCCTCCCCTCTACAAAACCATACCCTTGACAACCCCTCATCGCCCGCCGATCTTCAGCCACGATAGCGACCACATGCAACTGGTTTTCATCGGTGTCCACCGGCGAATGGCTACTAAACGGTTGCTAGGACATAGGAGTTTTGTAAATTAGGAGACACTGGTTGCAGTGGTGACGTCGAATTAGATTTTCGTTGCCAGAATCGATCGGAATCCGGCGAAGAACGACAAAAACCTAAGCTTGATGGCACCGACGATCGGAGAGCCCAATGAGTCAGGAACCAGAGGGGTTTTGGACGACGGATGATGGGGAAGGTGATGGAGGTGACCAGGGTTTTCACCGGCATCGAAAATAGCCCAGATCCGGTGAAAACCGAGACAGTGCATAGTTGCTGAGGGCGTAATTGATGTAATTTCAAAATAAGATGGTTAATTTTATAATTTTAGTAATTTAGGGGTTAAAATATAATTTATTAATTTAGGGTTAAAGGGCATTATGGTAATTGCACCCTCACTATCCTATAAAATGTTAACAGTGTTATTTTAAAGGTGAGAATCTGGAATAAATAGAACCTGTGATACCAACTTGGGATTTCGTCAAACCTTGGGTGGGAATATGTCATTTACTCTTTTTTTTTTTTTTCTGATTTATACTGTTCAGAGAAATTGCCTGGGTCTAAATTAAACATTCAGCCATTTAATTAGCCTTTACATTAAATAGGAACGTTGAGGAATTTATTTTTTGGTCATAAAAGATTTATGATGATTAAATGTACAATGAAATTCAATCATGAAGACAATATAGTGACATATTAACCACTCCTAAGGCGATAGAGACTCTTGGATATATTACTCAAAAAGTCTTCAGTTTGATTCTTTTCGATTGTTAATAGGGGTGACCACTGTAGGGTTTACTCGGTCGTTAACTTCAGGACCTTGGAGAATTAATCGAAATGCGCACAGACTGCCCAGATACCCTAGGTCACCAAAAAATTTAATTGTCATGTATCAAAATACTAATGTAGACTAATAGTTATTGTTAGGTAGAATTCTCTCTTATTTTGTTTCTAAATGAGCCTTAAATATGTAATCTAAGACCTTGGTTGTTGTATCAACATAGGGTTTTCATTACTACGTTACCTCTAAGTTACGGCACAACATGCTTTCCTTCTAATTTAGGAAACTAATGCTATCACCCTCCAATGGTACTAGTTAAAAATAACAATTCAAAGGGTAAAAAGACATATTTTATATACATCGTTGACAACTTTTTATTAAAATGATTGGAAGTTTTGGTTAATCAACTTGTAGTTTTAAGCAAACATTAGAAAGTCTTGACTAATTGATTAACCGTTATTAGCACCATTACAATTATTGAATATAAAAATAGCCACTTATTTGACCAAAGCCATCACCTGTTTATTCAAAATTTATAGAGTTGACCACTTTTTCCCACACAAATAATGGTTTAATGATATTTTTTTATTCACAAACTTTTAAAATACCATTTTATTATCAAAATTTATATTTTAACAGCGAATAAAGAACAAACTGGTCCAGGCTATTAGGGATTTTGAAGAGGAAAAGCCGATGAGTCTTTTGATGGTTGAGATTAATTAGAATTTGACTTGGGAAGGGTGGCTATGTAAGCCTTAATCGCTCGATTGTCAGATCGACCAGAGTAGGGTTTGGGGGGTTTTGGTGAGTGATGATCAGAGAAGAGAATAGTGGTAACGTGGGGTCGTAATGATGTCGAAATCTGAAATAGAATATAAATTTAGATAATAAAGTAATATTTTAAAAGTTTGTGAGTAGAACAGTATCATTAAACTATTATTTGGGTGGAAAAAAATAATTTACTCAAATTTATATTCTACTTTTTGGACTGTCACATTTACCTGATAGTAACATCCAGGGTGTCAAACTGTCAACGTTAGTTTTCTAAATTAAAGAGGGAAAAACATTTTTACATCAATCCTAATAAGTGAAAATTAATTAACTCTAATGATAATGATAATAACTATATATATATACACTTAAAAAATTATTAGGTTAACAATGAATGTTAGTTTGACCAGAACGGCTGAAATAAGATGATTTAAGTGATGAAATTTTGGTGAGATTCTATACACAGAATCAAGTGAGACCAATCTCCATACCTTAAAAGATAGACAACATGATTGAGAATTTTGAAATTAAGCTGAATAAACTTTTGATTAAATTAATAATGTCTATTCCTAGTACTTGTATTTCATAATTTCATTAATTCGCACCATATTAATAATTAATGTTATTTCCCCAAGTCCTTTTTCATTATCATGAGTTGTTGGCCCAAAACAATTGAATGAAATTATCAAAGAGCATTTAATTAGCGAGTTGATATCTATGCTAAATGCATTATCAAAGTTAGTTTAACCGTAATTAAATAAATATTATGTATTTATCTAATAATATTATCCAATTATATTTACATGAATATTATTGAATCTCACCCACCTATAGTCCAACAATAAAAGAAAATTAAGAGGGTTGCAAATAGTCCAACATATGCTCTCAAGTTCGATTCTTTACTGAATTCTAATAGTCAAAGTTAACATACTCAAGAGATTATGAAATGTGAGAAGAGATAATGGAAGATTTCTAATACCTCGAGAGAGGTAAGAAATAATAACATGGCTTTTTTTATAATCTCTAACGTGATAGTTCATCTTTGATCGATTCGCAAAATATAACCCGCGTCAGAGATGGTGAGAGAAGGTTACTAACATTACTCAGATAATAAAACCTGTCTATAATTGAATTACCTTCCTATTAATCTCATTTTACCTCTCAAACAATAGAAAGACAATGTTAACCTTAGTCGTGAAGAAATGAACACATCAACTCTCTAGGGCATTGTAGTAAATTGGCTGAAGAAAAAAAAAAAAAATTAAGATGAATGAATGAAATGACACATCACTTTCCTTTAGTTTGTGATCCCAATCCCATGTGAGCATCTCTCGAAGGAAGGGAAGAGACCTGGCAACCATAAACTGCTGAGACATTTTGCCAACTATTGCCTAGTTCTACTTGCTTTCTGTTTTTATTAGCCCTTTGTTTTCACAGCTTTCATGTGCCTTGCTTGAAACTTCCTTCCTGATATTATTGTTTTTTTTTTTATTGAAAGCCAATTTAGTGAAACATACGGTTTGGTAGCTTAGAGTTTGTGTTTCACTGTTTGAAGGGCAAAAGATGTTAAGTGTATATATATATCCAGTTCATCAAAATGAGTGGTTAAGAGTTTAACTCATGTGGGTTTATCGTTAAAAGCTTACTAATCATGCTTCATCATTTAATAATGTGATTTTCAGAGAAAGAAAAAAGCTTTTTTAGATTTTTTGCAGATAAAGTTGGAATGAATATGCTAAAGCTCTTTGGTTGAAGAGAGAATCAGTAAGCTTTGATATTCTCTTGCAGTTCTTGTCAAAGTTCATCACTTTTGGTTCTTGGTTTTGGCTTCTGTTCAGTGAAGATCGAGACTGTTCAGTGGAAAAGTTGCTATTTACAAGTAAGTTTGGTTGTTTTTAGCTAAGTTTGATTGTTTTGAGTAGTTTTGAGTTTTTTTGTGGAGAGATTTTGGGTAAAGATGAAATCTTTGAGTAGTGTAGGACTTGGGTTGAGTGTTGTTTTTGGTTGTCTTTTGTTGGCTTTAGTTGCTGAGCTTTACTATTTGTTATGGTGGAAGAAGAGGTTCACTAGTAGAGAGATTGAGAATGATTATAGCAACCCAGCAAGAGAATTTTTATACATGTTTTGTTGGAGAAAGCCCTCTAATTCTCTGAGACACTCAGCTTTGAATCCCCAAGAAGTGTGTTCTTCTCTGAGAATTAATGATACCCTTGTTCAAGAACCTCACTCAAATAACAAGGATTTCTTGCTCAAGCCCTTTGGTGATGATACCATGGAGACAGAGCTCATGAGGCTGCACAATCTTTCAGGTCCACCCAGATTTCTCTTCACAATTATTGAAGAAACAAAAGAGGATCTTGATTCTGAAGATGGCAAGTCTAGAAGTGATAACAAGAGCAGAAAAGGTTCTAGAAATAGAAGCTTGAGTGATCTACTTCTGACAATGGAGACTCCATATTTAACCCCTCTTGCTTCTCCGTCACTTTTCACTCCACCTCTCACTCCTATGAACTCTTCCTACTACCAACAAGGATTCAACCCTCTCTTTGAATCTTCAACAGATTTTGAGTTCAATAAGATAAGGTCATCCCCTCCTCCAAAGTTCAAGTTTTTACAAGATGCTGAGGAGAAACTTTACAGAAGAAAATTATTAGAAGCTGAGAAGAAGGCACACAAGACTGAAGGGTCAGTTCAAGAAAATGGAACCAAATCTCCTAGTTCAAATTTTCTCAAAGAGGAGGAAGATGGATCCTTCATCACAATCATTGTTGATAGAAACAAAGAAAGAGAGCTTAATAATCATCACCATAACCAACTACCTCAGTTTCATTCAAGCTCTTCACAGGTACTTCCACTTGCGTCTTCACCTTCAACATTTAGATCCTCACCAGCCTAGAAGAATTAATTCCATTTGAGTTTTACTTATTTCTTTAGGGGTGTTTGGGGATGCAATCAAGGATTAATCTAAATCATCTACAAAATACCCTTGTAAAATGTATCTTGTAGTATTTATTTTTAATTTTTAATTTGAATTAGGGGAGACAACATTCTCTGCAACATGGTGTTGAGAGTGTGCAGTCTAGTGAAAGTGGAAGTGGTGGACTTGTGGGGTTATTTGTTTTATTCAATCTCCATGTCTCCTGAGCTGTCTGATACCTGTAATCATTCTTGTGAGTGATGGTACCACTGATTTCTTGTCCATAGATACCTGTTAAAATCCTTTCAACACTTTTCTTTTTTTCCTCTCTTTTCTCTTCTTTTCTCTCCATGCTTATGACACACAAACACATACACACATAAATAGAAGTTTTTCCCTTGACCCACTTTCCCTTTTATTGGAGGGTGATCATATCTGTATTCCCCACTAGACTTTTTCTAAAAAAATGTTTTGGACCGTGTGATCAGCACCTGACAAAGGTGAAAGAGAGTGAAGATGAGAGTTTTATCTGTATGTGAAAGTGGGTAAGGGAGATAGATACCATTGAAGAAAGTGACAAAACTGGAAAAAGGTATTGGGGTTTTGGGCTTTTTCCTAAACAACAAGAAGTGATGTTATTTTGCCCGTGAAAATGTCTTGTGGGGGATAGAGTTGAACCGAAAGGTGCCCACCTTCAAGAATCATTACAGCCATTTGCTTTCTTTTTTCAGCTCTTTGTTATGTTGAAAATCTTAAGGTGACCCTGGCTTATAATCATGAGTTGTCATGTAAATGTAACCAACTGTTTAAAACGACCCCCGCAAGCTTTTATTTGGATTAATTAGTTGTTGCGTTACATGAGCTTCAACTCTTTTTAAACTTTAGGTTATAATTCACTTAAAAAGATACAATATGGCTAGATTTTACAACTTGAGCAAATAATGAAAAAAACAACCATAACATATAGTGAAGAACAATATGTTACGTTTTGAAAAAGAAATATTGGGTATGCTTAAATTGATTTTTTTTTGGGTTTAATTTGAATTTGAATTTGATTCAAATTTTTATAACTATTAATTTGGGTTTTGAAATTTGATTTAATTCCAATTTCATAATTTCTGAAAACTAAAACCATGAAAACGTTATATATGTTGGGGATATAATAACGATGTCATCGTATTTTCCTACTAAAACTTGAAAGATTGGCTGTTTAAATTGGATTAAACCTAGAACCACTTATATGCAGCTCCATCTTGATCTCATTTTAATGCCGATTTTCTTTTAAAATAAATAAATAAAATAAAATTTTAATGGGTAATTCTACACTCACAATCTAATCTCACAACCTTTCTTTTACAAGTCCGATGTAATAACTCACAAATAAGTTCCTGCTTGTTATGGGTCCCGTTCGCCAAATTGACCAATTAGAACAATCATATTGAGATTGTGAAAGAAAGTTTGTAAGAGATTGTGAAAAAAAGTTTGTAAAATTTGATTGTCAGCCAATCTTTATCCAAATTTTGATTGATTACAATCTTTCCATCTCACAGACACCAAAGTCAATTCGAATATGCATAATAAGTTCTCGCATAATAAAACGGAAAACAGTAATAGTTCCACTGCCATTCTTAATATAGTCAGTAATTGATGCTATGGAAAACGATAGGACATAGCAGCATGCTCTTGCAAACAAAGAATTCTGATGCAGCATAAACATTTAACTTCGCAGATCAAACATGCAGGCAAGGCAACTGAAAATGAAAGATTTAGAATTTTACAGGCAAAATAAATCAATAGCAACAATCTTAGGAACAAACAAGATGATGAAGGTAAAAAATTTCTCCAACATTATCAGAAAAAATTCTATATCGTGCTCAGAGATTACATGGTCAAAAAATTGGTATGGTAAGTTTTAAGTTTAGCTTATCATTAGATACATCCTTTTAATCACAATATACAAACAACATTGAAAGAAAAAAGAAGTGAGCACAGGTACAATCATCCTGAAAAATGAGGTGTGAGAGGGGGCAAATAATATATTTCACTAAGAATTATGATCAAGTCATATTCCCAAAGTCGAAAAATCTGTCATTCCCAGTTCGGGACAAAGTGGGTTTAGCCCAGGTTCTTCCAGAAGACTAAATGCAGTATATCCATAGTATGAGTGGTATAGATCAGGCAGCTCCCCTGGGTATTTACTGAAACCACCATACTGGTGAAGGAACTTATTTTAGTTGAAAGAATTAAATCAAAATATTTACAGAGTGCAAGTAAAGGAAAAGAGGTAGCACCTGAGACTGACAAGTTAGCAAAAATCCACGTAAAGCTTCCGTGTCAATGAACTTATAGCCGCCCAAGATCCTCAAAACTGCCCCAATCCTACATAAGCAGATTGCAACCGTCAAGGCAAAAAATCAAACTGAGGGAACTTCATTTTTTAAAGTGTTCTATTCTTACCAAAATGCATAACATGTGTCACTAGGCTTGTTGGCTCTACCTTGAAATCCACCATCATCCTCTTGCCTCTGTGCAAAAAAAAACAAAGAGAGTACGGTATTACTCTTTAGGAAAAAGTAACGGCTAAGGATTATTATTTTTCATAAGAGAAACCTCTGCTGACTTTTGGGTTAAATACAACCAAAATGGGGCAATTATGAAGTGCATAAGAGAACTCTCATGGATTTCTAAATTTTGCAGAAACCTCACCCATGGAGAGGCTTAAAATGAATTTTGGAACCTCTTGGCTCTGTCTATATTTAAAAGTCAATGAATCTCTCCCATATCAAAGTAACCTAAGATGGCACATGAATGAAATGAGCATGATAAACAATGAAAGAATCATTATTTCAGAAGCATTTACTTTCTTGACAGTTCCTAAGCTTTATGGCCTTTATGTCTGTCCATTGTCTTCGACTAAATGTTAAAGTCTAAAAGCACAGCTTCATAGAATAATAATAAAGTTTCTAGAGACTAAGAGGCAAATAAACCTGCAAACACCAATTCAGCATCAATGGCAAGTTGATAACGGAAGAAGATACAGACTTAGAAAGAACATCATCTTCTATGAACCCCATCAATCTGAGAGATGCAACTGCGCAGTAGGTACCACCGCCTGTGCCACTAAGACAAATACCGTTGGAAATATAATCGAAATGAATAGAATACTGAGAATAAAGAAATCTATACTACAGAAGTCAGAACTGATTTATCAAAATGTGTCCTCAGTAATAAAGAGAAATGACAACAATTTTCCTCACTACAAGAAAACTACAACCGCCCACTTGATATTGTGGTAGGGTCACAAAGGAATATAGTAGAACTAACAAAATTGCAACCTATGTTGAAAGGATAAATATCACAATCATAAAAACTTGTTTCAACTTACCATGTGATTCTGAACCAGGAATCAAGCCAAACCCACCATCATATGACTGAAAGAACAGTATCACTTGTAAGTATATAAATGGATAATTTGTTAAACGAATAGCACATTGAATGCAAAACATAATCATTGAAGAACAAAAGCTAGGAAAACAAAAAGCCACCAAGAATAGGCAGACCTGGCAGTTTAATATGTAATCCTTAGCTTTCTCCCGGTCCATGCCACTCCAATCGTCCAACATATGACAGATTGCAGCTGATACATGAATTTGCTACACTGATATTTCACTTAAAATGAATCTTAATTTTAAATGCTAGACTGTAAATCCATTATTCATTTCTTACCAGCACAGTATACGAACCGAAGATCCATCTCTGCCCCACAATGGATAGGCATGAAACTGTGAAATAAAGAATTTTGGTATTATCTCAGAAGATTAATCAATCTCAAAGTTGTTATGTGAATGTTACAAATTGCTAGAAAGCTAAGTTGAAAAAGTAATCTGATTTCAGTCTCATATCATTCTTAATTGTTTTAGTACATGCACGTAACTTTCTCTTCATTTGCTAGTAGGCATAAAAGCAAATTATTGGGGGTAATCTATGATTAAAACTTTACAGAGAAGATATATTATATGCTACAGTAATCAAGCATATCAAACTATCTACTTTCATGCTTTGCACAAAACATTACATGAATGGTTTTAGTTCTATAGGAAAAGGACAAAACATTCCCAAAATTTTTTACAAGAACCTAAAGCAGTTGTCTTTCTGGAAAGAATATTTAACAAAATGGAGAAAGCAGTTAATATATGGAGAACCTACAACAGTTTGTTTCTAGTATAATTGCGAAGAATTATAAAGAAGAGGAATGCATACCTCCCATCAGGCTGTTGAAGATTTTTCATTGATGTCAATATTGAAACACGATCAATATTTGCAAAACTATAGCCAACAGCCTTTAGAATGGCTAGGGCACAGAATGTGCTCGCCAAGTGACTACCATTGTGAGTCAAAACCTACATGCAGATTAAACAGGATAACTGATATCAGAAAGCATAAAGAAATAAATTTAGAATGGTAAAATTAGTTGGAAGGTTAGAAACTTGCTAAAATAAGCATCAAGTCAAATAATAAATGGATAGTATATAACAAAATTCCTTGTACCCCATTATCATCCGGAGGAAACTGTGAGCTTCGAGAACCATGGAATCCATATAATTCTCCTGCAGAAAAAAACAAAACTTCATTATACACGATCCCTTCAACAGCTAAGTGAATATGCGAGTGGTGCTTAAGCCAGAAGAAAATCCATTTCCCACTTGAGAAAAGGAAAGATTTTAAGTCACAAACATATATAAAATTCGATATCACCACAAACTATAGCATCCAACTCAAGACAATCAGATTCAAATTTCTTAGTGACCAAAGCCATACCGCTAAATTTTGATTGATTACAATCTTTCCATCTCACAGACACCAAAGTCAATTCGAATATGCATAATAAGTTCTCGCATAATAAAACGGAAAACAGTAATAGTTCCACTGCCATTCTTAATATAGTCAGTAATTGATGCTATGGAAAACGATAGGACATAGCAGCATGCTCTTGCAAACAAAGAATTCTGATGCAGCATAAACATTTAACTTCGCAGATCAAACATGCAGGCAAGGCAACTGAAAATGAAAGATTTAGAATTTTACAGGCAAAATAAATCAATAGCAACAATCTTAGGAACAAACAAGATGATGAAGGTAAAAAATTTCTCCAACATTATCAGAAAAAATTCTATATCGTGCTCAGAGATTACATGGTCAAAAAATTGGTATGGTAAGTTTTAAGTTTAGCTTATCATTAGATACATCCTTTTAATCACAATATACAAACAACATTGAAAGAAAAAAGAAGTGAGCACAGGTACAATCATCCTGAAAAATGAGGTGTGAGAGGGGGCAAATAATATATTTCACTAAGAATTATGATCAAGTCATATTCCCAAAGTCGAAAAATCTGTCATTCCCAGTTCGGGACAAAGTGGGTTTAGCCCAGGTTCTTCCAGAAGACTAAATGCAGTATATCCATAGTATGAGTGGTATAGATCAGGCAGCTCCCCTGGGTATTTACTGAAACCACCATACTGGTGAAGGAACTTATTTTAGTTGAAAGAATTAAATCAAAATATTTACAGAGTGCAAGTAAAGGATAAGAGGTAGCACCTGAGACTGACAAGTTAGCAAAAATCCACGTAAAGCTTCCGTGTCAATGAACTTATAGCCGCCCAAGATCCTCAAAACTGCCCCAATCCTACATAAGCAGATTGCAACCATCAAGGCAAAAAATCAAACTGAGGGAACTTCATTTTTTAAAGTGTTCTATTCTTACCAAAATGCATAACATGTGTCACTAGGCTTGTTGGCTCTACCTTGAAATCCACCATCATCCTCTTGCCTCTGTGCAAAAAAAAACAAAGAGAGTACGGTATTACTCTTTAGGAAAAAGTAACGGCTAAGGATTATTATTTTTCATAAGAGAAACCTCTGCTGACTTTTGGGTTAAATACAACCAAAATGGGGCAATTATGAAGTGCATAAGAGAACTCTCATGGATTTCTAAATTTTGCAGAAACCTCACCCATGGAGAGGCTTAAAATGAATTTTGGAACCTCTTGGCTCTGTCTATATTTAAAAGTCAATGAATCTCTCCCATATCAAAGTAACCTAAGATGGCACATGAATGAAATGAGCATGATAAACAATGAAAGAATCATTATTTCAGAAGCATTTACTTTCTTGACAGTTCCTAAGCTTTATGGCCTTTATGTCTGTCCATTGTCTTCGACTAAATGTTAAAGTCTAAAAGCACAGCTTCATAGAATAATAATAAAGTTTCTAGAGACTAAGAGGCAAATAAACCTGCAAACACCAATTCAGCAACAATGGCAAGTTGATAACGGAAGAAGATACAGAATTAGAAAGAACATCATCTTCTATGAACCCCATTAATCGGAGAGATGCAACTGCACAGTAGGTACCACCGCCTGTGCCACTAAGACAAATACCGTTGGAAATATAATCGAAATGAATAGAATACTGAGAATAAAGAAATCTATACTACAGAAGTCAGAACTGATTTATCAAAATGTGTCCTCAGTAATAAAGAGAAATGACAACAATTTTCCTCACTACAAGAAAACTACAACCGCCCACTTGATATTGTGGTAGGGTCACAAAGGAATATAGTAGAACTAACAAAATTGCAACCTATGTTGAAAGGATAAATATCACAAACATAAAAACTTGTTTCAACTTACCATGTGATTCTGAACCAGGAATCAAGCCAAACCCACCATCATATGACTGAAAGAACAGTATCACTTGTAAGTATATAAATGGATAATTCGTTAAACGAATAGCAGATTGAATGCAAAACATTAACATTGTAGAACAAAAGCAACCAAGAATAGGCAGACCTGGCAGTTTAATATGTAATCCTTAGCTTTCTCCCGCTCCATGCCACTCCAATCCTCCAACATATGACAGATTGCAGCTGATACATGAATTTGCTACACTGATATTTCACTTAAAATGAATCTTAATTTTAAATGCTAGACTGTAAATCCATTATTCATTTCTTACCAGCACAGTATACGAACCGAAGGTCCATCTCTGCCCCACAATGGATAGGCATGAAACTGTGAAATAAAGAATTTTGGTATTATCTCAGAAGATTAACCAATCTCAAAGTTGTTATGTGAATGTTACAAATTGCTAGAAACCTAAGTTGAAAAAGTAATCTGATTTCAGTCTCATATCATTCTTAATTATTTTAGTACATGCACATAACTTTCTCTTCATTTGCTAGTAGGCATAAAAGCAAATTATTGGGGGTAATCTATGATTAAAACTTTACAAAGAAGATATATTATATGCCACAGTAATCAAGCATATCAAACTATCTACTTTCATGCTTTGCACAAAACATTACATGAATGGTTTTAGTTCTATAGGAAAAGGACAAAACATTCCCAAAATTTTTTACAAGAACCTAAAGCAGTTGTCTTTCTGGAAAGAATATTTAACAAAATGGAGAAAGCAGTTAATATATGGAGAACCTACAACAGTTTGTTTCTAGTATAATTGCGAAGAATTATAAAGAAGAGGAATGCATACCTCCCATCAGGCTGTTGAAGATTTTTCATTGATGTCAATATTGAAACACGATCAATATTTGCAAAACTATAGCCAACAGCCTTTAGAATGGCTAGGGCACAGAATGTGCTCGCCAAGTGACTACCATTGTGAGTCAAAACCTACATGCAGATTAAACAGGATAACTGATATCAGAAAGCATAAAGAAATAAATTTAGAATGGTAAAATTAGTTGGAATGTTAGAAACTTGCTAAAATAAGCATCAAGTCAAATAATAAATGGATAGTATATAACAAAATTCCTTGTACCCCATTATCATCCGGAGGAAACTGTGAGCTTCGAGAACCATGGAATCCATATAATTCTCCTGCAGAAAAAAACAAAACTTCATTATACACGATCCCTTCAACAGCTAAGTGAATATGCCAGTGGCGCTTAAGCCAGAAGAAAATCCATTTCCCACTTGAGAAAAGGAAAGATTTTAAGTCACAAACATATATAAAATTCAATGTCACCACAAACTATAGCATCCAACTCAAGACAATCAGATTCAAATTTCTTAGTGACCAAAGCCATACCGCTGTTCAGGTCAGCTTCATTTCTTGGGTGAGCTTGCAATGATAAAACCCAATTTGAAACTGCTTCCTTGTCAACCTAGTATGTAAATGTATACGTATCAAACTTCTGTTCAGGTTATTCTCTTTAAATCAACATGGTGCCAATTAAAAAATATTCAGAAAATAAAGTCATAACACACCATAAGATATCTCCTCCATAGAAAAAAAAAACCTGAGTCTGATTGGTTAGCATAAATTTCTTTGTTCCGGAAACAAGTTTGAGAAAAAATCTCTTAAGAATACTTTGGTCAAGAAATTGTTGTAAAACCCGAATATTAATATGTTTCCGTTAGTTTCCATGAACTGCATCCAAATTACTCCACCCTTTAAAGTTTCTTAACCTGTTACCAAATCGCGAATCAAGTGTCCCTTAATTTTCTTTACATTTAAATATATGAAAGTCCATCAAAATAGAAAATTGGCAACTAAAAAAGAAAACATTGTAGTGGTTAATTATTCTTAAATTTGTCTTCTAAATCAGACTGTTCGCAATCAACCAACCATGTACTATACGAGGCTAAATGCATTTTCTTTCACAGAATCCACCCTGCGAAGCATCATTTATTGCATATGACATTGAAAATGAATAAAATTAGCTAAATTTAATTTTTTTTTCTCGGGAAACAAACACGGAGAAGTAAAATAAGCGTACGCGATCTAAGGCGCCGAGAAGTTGGAGACCGGAGATGGCGAAATGAGCTAGAGTAATGCGATTGATCTCCTGTTTCTGGTAATAATGCGGCAACATCTGGTACATCATCTCCAGGTACGCCAAGTGTCGGTCTCTATCGAAGTGTGATAACGGACGTGAAAATACCGGCTGGTATTCATCTTCTGATGAAATTTGGTCCCACTCTCTACCTGCTGATGCTTCCATGTACGGTGCTGAAGACAGTAAAGATTCTAAGATTTGATGATAATGAATGGATTCTGATCTATTGAGTTCCCTTTGAGTTGTCAGCTCCGACTCCGAGTTGACTGTGACACGGCGAGTCGAGTCGGGTGACTTTCCTTAAGGAGATTCGGTTGGACATTTTGGTCTTGGTGGGTTATATTTTGGTTAGATTATGAGGAATTAAGAGAGGTTATTTTTTAAAAGTACAGTTTTAAACTTTTAATTGTGGTTGATTTTACAAAAAGAAAACCCTTGTTTAAAAACCATCGAGGTGGCGTTCAATGCGAGTCACTTCCAACAAAAACAAATAACAGAACTTAGAGGAGTAATTTCGTCGAACATTTGGCGTGAGTCGTGAAAAAGGATGAAAGCCAACAAGGCAACTGTCTTAACACTAGCTGAGAAATGCAAGGTCTCTCCTTATCTCTCAAAAATGTTATTCGGCTTAGCGAGTTTAAACTTACACTATGTTGATTACTCAAGTTTAAGTTTAAAATTTATTGCAGAATATACTGGCGGCAAATTGGCAGGGTCACCTCAATACCATCAAAGCTGATGCCAAAGGAAGGTACCCGGTTTTCTTTTAACTCTTTGGTTTTTTGTTCTTAAATTTTGCTTGTTTTGAGAAAATTAAGAAAACAAAACAAGTTTTCAGATTTGTGTTATAGAATTTGTTGAGCTTGAAGCAAGGATGTGATTATTTGGCATAGTTGGGAATGAGCTTAATATTTAGAAAGCTAAGAGAAATACGAAAGTACCATATTTAAGAGATGGGTTTGTAGTTTTAGCTTTATTTGTTAAGTTTTCGAGGAACCAAATGGATGGTTGAAAACTGATAAACTATATATTGTGTTGATTAATTTTTTTTTTTTTTTTTTTATTCTGCGTGATTGGTTTAGCAAAGAAGACATATACACCTCAAAAGTCAAGTACATAATAAATAGGGGCAGACCATACCTCTGGGTACCTGAAAAGGAGCTTCATAATGTGGTATGGCTTCTCTTTGCGTTGTTGTTTTGTTTTGCCTTTTTATTTTATTTTTTTATTCATAAAATTACTTTTTCCATGTTCAAATGTATGGTTGATTGACAATCTTAAGTTTTTCTTGAAATATTTAGCAAAATGTTTGGACTCAATATGGAAATAAAGTCATATATTGGACATAACCAATGAACAAATCCACAAAAATTCCTGTACTCTTTATACTCTGTTTGAAATTGTTTTGTCATTTTGCCTCCTAACTTTTGGTTACTTTTCCCTTTTTGTTTTGATGCAGAACACAATTATTGATGAACGTGGTTCATTTGCAGTTGCTAGTCCTTTCCCAGGCCCTCTGGCTAAGTTACTTAGATCAATTAAAAAGGTTGGTGTTGATTTGGAGTAGCACTACTTTCCTTATTCAGTTATGCAAGAAATTGCTGCATACTAACAAAACTTCTTCCCCCTCCCTCCCTACATTTCTATGTCATTTCAATCCTGGGAGGAAACTTCCTCTCACAAGCTACTATGTAATGTTGATCCATGCTTGTGCATAATAGAGAAGAATTGAATTGTTGAACTAGTTTACTTGAGACAAGACAAAGTAATGGTCTAACTTAGTTGAATTTTGCCCATGCTGCAGTTACCAACTCGAGCTGCTTTAAGTGGGGATCTTGTGCCTCTTAAAAGTGAAAAGGTAAGCTACCTAAACATGACTTGAAACTCATGCTTGAATTGGACTGGATTTTTAAGTTAATATGTTGATTCTAATTTTATGGATAGGAGCATATGAAGGTGTATTATATTCTATAATTCAATGTGCTGATTCTTGTCTTTACTTGGTTTACAATTATTGTGCCTAGAATAGATTGATTGTATTTTTCTTGTTCTTGTTATAGGCTCAGTCAGCTTCAGAAAGTCTTAAAGAAATCATTCTGTCTGAACAACGGGTGATCAGTGAATCCAGTTATACAGTTTCTGGTGTATTAAGTTCTTCTGACTTTATTACTGCTTCCCGAAGTGAAAACCTCAAGGAGCTAATTGATGAGGGAGAAAAATACGAGATTTATAAGTTTAATTTAAGGTAAAAAGCTTTTGTGTGGACCGATTTCATCTGTTAATCTTTCTTTGAAGTCTGATCTGAATGTAAAGGTTGCATCATTTATTTGTCTTTTATGATTCGGGATTGGTTTTATCTTAAGAATCTAGAAAATGTATTTGAGTCATTTCTGGTTAAGCTGATATCATATGAGGTCAAATTTATGAATACATGTAGTAGGTGATTGCAAAATTGAAGATATCTCAAATATTAAAATTAATTTGTTGCATAACTTTCTGGAGAAAGTAAACTCTTGAGGTTCAACTTCTTGTAGACTAAATTTTATTGGCAAGAAGGAAAAACTGAAATAAGGAATCCAATATGTTGATGCAAATCTGACATATGATCTTTATTTTTCAGTTCATGCATGTTTATTGATGGCAACGGGTGCAATCATAAAGTAGACTTGAAGGATATTGAGACATGTAAATCAGATGTGATAGGTAAGAACTTTCATTAAGGATAATCACTGTGTCTTCATCAGAATGGAATACCTATTATGTCTTGGAGGTTATACTTTTTTGGCATGTACTAATAAAATTACATCTTGAATTTGTTTCACTTGCAGCACCTCTTTCTGCTAATCTAATTGATGGCATTAACCAAAGTGAAGCAAGGCGCAAGGCGTTGATGCTTTTTTGCTTCATATACGCAAATGCAAATGCAAGAGTAAGACACTTAACTAAGTTCTTATTAAGTACTTGTTAAATCAATATAAGCCTCACAAGTACACATGAATATCTACCCCAATTTTAGATGTTTGAAAGATTGCATTTGTGTTTTATATTCTGCATGTTAATCTCCAACTATCAACTTGCTTTAATCTTTAATAAACTGGCCGTTGCATGGTGTTTCAGGATGCATTTATGCTTTCTGTTGATAGCAAAGGATTTGATGTGCTGGGAAAGGTTCCTAATCCGGTAATGACGGATGGAATCGGCGAATTCCAGTGGAAAGAATTCAGGTTCACATTCAAGGAAGAGGCCCATGATGTTGAAAGTTTTTGCCGTCAACTAGTGGAAATGGAAGAAGAGGTTGTCAAAATGGTTTCAAACTACAGCGGTCTTTAATAATATAAGCAGAGTCCAATCTATTTGTTTTCATTCTTGTTTTTATTTCCCTTCTGTAATGTAATATACAGAGTTGATCTTCTACCCGTTTTGGCAAGGCACCAATTTTCTCGTGTACACACACAGTAACCAATTTATAATTTTAAGGTTGTTGGAGAGAAGCATTTAAATAACTGATAAGCAAAAAATTGAGCAACATGTCTTTTGAATTAAATATTTAAAAGCCGAAATGCATTAATCCCCTATAGACTTGAAGAAATGAGAAAAAGAAATACACGGAAGTCTAAACTATCTTTCAAAATAAAAATAACAAGAAAAAAAGGGAAGGATGAAATCCGCATAAACTTCGAAAAATTAAATCCACTTCTCCATGAAAATAAAAATATTGACGCTTAGTCAACTTCCTCAATCTTGGGACCTGCACCACTTCCACCAGCTGGGGGAGCATCATCCTCCATGCCTCCACCACCCATGTCAGCACCAGCACCTTGATACATCTTAGCAATAATTGGATTGCAAATGCTCTCCAACTCCTTCATCTTATCCTCGAACTCATCTGCCTCAGCAAGCTGGTTGCCATCTAACCATTGAATGGATTCCTCAATGGCATCCTCAATTTTCTTCTTGTCCTCTGTACCAAGCTTGGAACCAATCTTCTCATCCTTGACTGTGTTCCTCATGTTGTAAGCATAATTCTCCAGTGCGTTCTTGGCCTCAACCTTCTTTTTGTGCTCTTCATCTTCAGACTTGTACTTCTCCGCTTCCTGAACCATCTTCTCTATTTCGTCCTTCGACAACCTACCCTTGTCATTGGTGATAGTGATCTTGTTCTTCTGGCCGGTTGTCTTGTCCTCGGCTGAGACATTTAAGATACCATTTGCATCAATATCAAAGCAGACAGTGATCTGAGGAACACCCCTCGGGGCTGGAGGAATGCCAGAGAGCTCGAATTTTCCCAACAAGTTGTTATCCCTGGTTCTTGTTCTCTCACCCTCGTAGACTTGAATCAAGACACCAGGTTGGTTGTCTGTAAGTGAAAAATACTTTTCCTCTTCTTGGTGGTATTGTTGGGTTTCTTGGGATCAAAACAGTCATGACCCCTCCTGCAGTTTCCAACCCAGGGACAGAGGGGTAACATCAAAAGCAACAGTCCTGCACCTTCTCGTTGCCCTCTCCACTCAAGATGGCAGCCTGAACCAACCATATGCAACAGCCTCATCCGGATTAATATTCTTGCAAGCTCCTTTCCATTGAAGAAGTCTTGCAAAAGCTGTTGCACTTTTGGAATCCTAGTTGAACCACCAACAAGCACAACATCATGGACAGTGCTCTTGTCCATCTTAGCGTCTCTCAAACACTTCTCAACGGGCTCCATACACTTTCTAAAGAGATCCATGTTAAGCTCCTCAAATCTGGCACGAGTAATGGTTGAATAGAAATCAATACCCTCATACAAAGAATCAATCTCGATTGTTGTCTGAGCAGTAGATGAAAGGTCCTCTTAGCTCTCTCACAAGCTGTCCTCAATCTCCTAAGAGCCCTGGGTTTCCACTAATATCCTTCTTGTCTTCTCTTGAACTCCTGGACAAAGTGATAAACCATTCTGTTATCAAAATCCTCACCACCAAGATGAGTGTCTCCAGCAGTGGCCTTGACTTCAAAGATACCTTCTTCAATGTAAGTAAAGACACATCAAAAGTACCACCCACCAGGTCAAAAATCAACACATTCTTCTCACCAACGCTGGTGGCCTTCTGTCAGACCATAAGCATGGCTGCACGTGGGTTCATTGATAATACGCATAACATTGAGTCCAGCAATGACACCGCATCCTTTGTCTTGACGCTGAGTCTTGAAGTAAGCTGGGACATGACAACTGCGTTCTTAATATTTGAGCCAAGGTAAGCCTCAGCAATCTCACGCATCTTAATGAGAACCATAGAAGAGATTTCCTGGCAGCAAACTGCTTCTCTTCACCCTTATAGTTAACCCCAATCATGGGCTTGTCTCCTGGTCCAGGAATGACCTTGATGGCCAGAGCTTGATGTCACTCTGAACTGACGAGTCACTGAATCTCCTACCAATCAACCTCTTTGCATCTACAATACATGCAAATAACAATGTACAATTAATACAAACGGCTCCACCCAAAAAAAAAAAAAAAAAAGAAAAAGAAACATAAAACATAGCAGTAGAACCAAAAAAAATTATAAGACATTCAACGTTTTCACATTACTTTCATATCAAAACATAAAACAATAACTTAGATTTTATTTAAGAAAGCCTGATAATAACCAAAAAATTAAAATAAAATAAAATAACGAAAAAATTGTAGAAAGCTAAAAATAAGAATCATAATGTGAAACAAAACCCAGATTTTCTCAACTTCGATAAATATGAACAGTATGAATAACGTAGATCTAAACACAATAATAAGTAGCTACACATAAAAATTAAGATTTGTCACATTCTATAAATATAAAACTATAATAACATTAATCTAAACACAATAATGCATTTATTAAAAAAAAAAAAAAATCGTTCGCTATAATTACTTTCTTCATTAAAAAAACTAAGTCATAAACATTATTAAAATAAAATAAAAAAAGAAACAAAATCAGATCTGAAAAGAAAAAACAACACTAGATCTAGTGTAAAGAATGCTTACCAAAAACTGTGTTAATTGGGTTCATGGCGACTTGGTTCTTAGCAGCGTCACCAATGAGACGCTCTGTATCGGTGAACCCCACATAAGACGGCGTCGTTCTATTCCCTTGATCATTGGCTATGATCTCCACTCTATCGTGCTGCCACACGCCAACGCACGAGTACGTGGTACCTAGATCGATACCGATCGCCGGACCTTCTCCTTTTCCGGCCATTCTCACGAAACAATATTATAATGAATTTAAATTCTTAGAGAAAAAAGAAAATAGAAAATTTGATCTGTTGTTTGTAAATAACAAACTGAGTGGTTGTGTGTAGGGCTAGGGTTGAGTTTATATAGATGTTATGGGAGATTCGTTCTAGAATGTTCCGTGGTCTCGAGGAATTTGCAGCCGTTGATGGGAGGGTAATGGACGTCTTAGATTGTTGAAATCTGGTCTTGGAATTTGACTAGGTCGGCTACGCGCCTTAAAATTTAGAATCGTAGAGGGTTTTGTTTTTGAATTAAGAAAACGTTGTTTGGTTTAAATTCGAACGCGTGGAGGTCATGCTGAATTTCTTTGACTGGGCCTATCTCCCCTCTTAAGAAGAATTGGGCCTTGATGGGCCGAATTCATAACACATGAATGTGGCCATAATATCCTTAGACTTCTTGTCTCCTTTATTTATTTATTTGAATTATCACTTTTTAGGGCCAAGCGAAAGTAACCAGCTTCTCAAACTCTAAATTACATTAATCAACACTTATTGTGATGCCTAAAATTCTTTATATTTTTTTAGCCTCCGATGATCTTGACAGTTTTGGTTTTCAATTAAAAAAAGTTTAGGTCATTGATCAATTTAAAATAAAAAGACATGACATATTGTAGATGCTCGGAATCCACAATCCCGAAAATTGGGAACATGGCAATATGTTAAACGAGAAAAACGAAGATTCTTGACATTGAGATGGTGCCAGCATGAGAGACTTTGACGCCCAAATTAGAATTATGTTCGGAATTTAAATAGAAATAGAAAGTAAATTGTGTTATGTGTGAAAGCAATCGCGATGGTGTGGATGTATGAATGCTAATGCTGGTCCTCCGAAGAGGTTCATCGGTCCTCTGGAAACAGGTGGTCTGATTTTCTGGGGAACGGTAGCCAAAATGTCTTAAAGAGTGAGATAGCTTTTGAGAGTGTGTTAGAAGAGATTTGATGCTGACTATGAGTTGCCTGAAGCTCCCTTTTCTTATGCTAGAAAGGGTGTATTTATAGAGTTTAGAGGGAGTGCCGTTGGTCTTCTGAAAATCCTCCAAGGTTTCAAGGGACAATTTCAAGATATTAGGATGCAATTTAAAGATATTAGGATGCATTTTCGAGATATCAGGAGGCGATTTTGGTTGACTCAGTCTGAATAAGGTAGTCCAGGACCTTGGTTTGATCCGTGGGTCTAGGCCCACTTGATATGGATTTTTGGGCCTTGTATATTGAGCCCTGACATGATTTGGTCCTTGGAACTCTGGACTCTCGTCTTGGGCCTGCATCTGACTTGGTCCTTGGACATGGTTTGCTAGATTGAAGGCCTAGGCTTGGGTTTTCAACATGCTTTTTTCCCCTATACACATATTATATTAAAGCAGATTAGATAATACTTTTAAATAATATTTCAGATTAAGGTGTATGTAATGTACGAAGATATGATATTAGAATATATTATTGTTATGTTTTGTAGGTTGAAATTGTTATAACTAATGTTTGGTTTGGCCTAGAGGTTGTTACGTTACGTGCGATCAAATTTAAATGTGCTCAGTGTAAACTTAAGTGGATAATTACCCATATAAACTCCTAAGTATAAAGCAAGTGTAGATACTATTCATTAAAAGATACTTACAGAAATTATAAAGGAAAGAAAAATACAGTCATATGTTCTAATCAACGTAACCATGAAACATAAGTGCTTAGACTGCCCCGCTTTCTGCCTAGCATATTTCAAAACACTTAGAAAAGCTTAGTCAACATCCTCAATCTTGACACCACCAGGCGTAGCTCAGGAAAGCTTCATCATCAATGCCAACTTCAATGTTACCATCGTTTTCCGAAAGAATTTCAAAAACTGGGCGGCAAATTATTTCAAGCTCCTTCTTCTTGTCCTCGATATGTTTGCCTCAACAACTTCATCGCTTTCATCAAGCCACTCAATGACACGATAATATCACCTTAATCTTCTTCTTTACCAGCAGGGAGCTTAGATGCTATCATCTCAGACTTGACAATGTGCCTCATTTGGCAGACATAACCCTCAGAGAAAGCTTGGCCTCAACTTTCTTTTTACTCTTATCTTCAGCCTCGTACTTCTCTGCCTCCTTAACCATCTTCTCAATTTCATCCCTAGACATCCTTCCCTTGTCATTGGTGATTGTGATCTTTTCGTCATGCCAGTGGTCTTGTCCT